CCCCCCCCGCGGCTTCTCCCCACCCCCGCACCCTAGATAGTCTGTATGGCCCCTTCCAACTCTATGATTCTATGGAGCACAACAGTAAACGTGCTCAGAAGGAAAAAAGATGATCACTCAGTTTGGGAAGGGACCCAAGACACAGAAGGGCTTTTATGCTGGCCCATCTGACTTCTTTTCCTTCAGCAGTGGTGTTAGGAAGGCACTTTAATATATTGTTCTGATAGATTATGTGCCTGTGGGTTAGAGAAAATTGATATTATTGATCATATTCTTCTTGAATGCCCTTGGTTTTTAGAAGGTAGAAACAAGTTGGTATTTCCTTTGATTGGAAAGAATTTTGTTTCTGTGGAAGTCGTCATTTCACAGCCGCTAAGTGACAAAGGACAACAAATAGCTTGGCAGGCCACAAAATATTAGACAGTGGCGATAGCTCGTCGGACTGCTAAATCCCATCAGTATTTTGGTTGTGTTTCCTGTTCATAGCATTGGTTGAAGGAACACCAAGTAAGTACGTTTGGGGAAAGGAGGGAGAAAACAGAGCTACAGCTCGATTTTAGGCCTCCCAGTTTAAACCCATCCTTTGCAACCCCGGCTGCGACAGACATACTGGTAGGACCTGACATTTTGTCAGGAGCTGTGACTGGCATCCTCTGAGGTATAACAGAGAAAGACGGAGTACTCTCTGTGTCAAGGTCACATACTGGCAATTTTTTGATACAAATCCACACAAGGAGGCCTTTTGAGGCTTTCCTTTGCATCCTCTGTGGCATGTTTGGGTAGACGCCTGTGTTCTCTTTGTTGCAATGGTTCCACAGCTGTCTCTGGTTCTCCTCCGAGCTTGTCAGCAAGCCTCTTACAATTCGCAATAGGAACAAAAGTGCTATTGACCCAGTCACATGCTGAGTACATCCGTCTTACCCATACGATGCAGCTTTGTGGTCTCGGCCCGAAGTTGACTCGTCGTGGCACAACATGCTAAGTAAACAGAAATCGCTCTTGAGATGCAGCCGTAAGAAAAAGTGTTTACCGGACTGTGATTCATCATGAGTGAGTTTCATTTATCCTGTATGGAAGAACGTGTGAGCTGGGCTGTCGTCAACCCGGCCCTCAGCTTTCTAGGAAAATGGGTTTCTATAATAGAACAGTCACTCCCCAGTAATGCATAGTCTGGAATATAAAATACAGCAGAACCAATTTTAAGTGTGTAGGATCTCAGCCCTGACCTGCCTAGCTCCATCTTGTCAGATTTCTGAAGCTTAAGCAGGGTTGGCCCCCTGGTTAGTCTTTGGATGGGAGACCTCAAAGGAATGCCAGGGGCGTGACGTGGAGGCAGGCAATGCCAAACCACCTCTGTTCATCTCTTGCCTTGAAAACCCTACGGGGTCGCCATAAATCAGCTGTGACCTGACAGCAAAAACCCCAGAGGGCCTAAGTGGAAGACTCTCTTCTCTTTTACCTCTGATATTTTACCTCAACCAAGGCTCTTCTGTTCATAGAGGTGATGGGCAGCTTTGACAGGGATAGAAGCAAGAAGGTGGTTTTTCAAGTTCTCTAGACAAAATAAGAGCCTTCCTGTAAAGACTTGTGTTATGATCCTGGGCTTATAGTGGTGCGGCCTACAGGCTCTAGGGAAGCCTGTATTGGAGTAGCCATCAGGGCCTGTATTTCCCAGGTTTTCTCTGGACCCTGTGATTGGCTAGCAGGGGATTTGGAGGGAACACTTGCACCAGGAGAGGAGTAGAGGGTGGTGCCTGGGAAGAAGGAATGAAAAGTCTTGCCCAAAGAGGGAGGGGGGTTCACTCCCAGGGAGGCAGGGCCGGAGAGGCTGCTGCAGGAGGAGGAGGGGTCCCTCATCCAAACGGGGTGAGTCAGCCTGAGACAAAGCACCTGGAGAAGACTAGGACAGTATAGTCAGATGCGTTAGGATTTCTTATTTTACTGAGTTACCTACCTACCTTTACTGTGCTCATTGGTCCACTGCTTTTTAACTTGTTCATTAATGATTTGGAGTTGGGAGTAAGCAGTGAAGTGGCTAAATTTGCGGATGATACGAAGTTGTTCAGGGTGGTGAAAACCAGTGAGGATTGTGAGGCACTCCAAAGGGATCTGTCAAAGTTGGGCGAGTGGGCGTCAACATGGCAAATGGGGTTCAATGTGGCCAAGTGCAAGGTGATGCACATTGGAGCCAAAAATCCTAACTATAAATACACGTTGATGGGGTCTGAACTGGCAGAGACAGATCAAGAGAGAGATCTTGGAGTTGTAGTAGATAACTCACTGAAAATGTCGAGACAGTGTGTGACTGCAATAAAGAAGGCCAATGCTATGCTGGGGATTATTAGGAAGGGTATTGTAAACAGATCAGCCAATATCATAATGCCCCTATATAAATCAATGGTGCGACCTCATCTGGAATACTGTGTGCAATTCTGGTCACCACACCTTAAAAAGGATATTATATTTTACCTCTGATATTTTACCTCAACCAAAGCTCTTCTGTTCATAGAGGCGATGAGCAGCTTTGACAGGGATATAAGCAAGAAGGTGGTTTTTCAAGGGCTCTAGGCAAAATAAGAGCCTTCCTGTAAAGACTTGTGTCATGATCCTGGGCTTATAGTGGTGCGGCCTACAGGCTCTAGGGAAGCCTGTATTGGAGTAGCCATCAGGGCCTGTATTTCCCAGGTTTTCTCTGGACCCTGTGATTGGCTAGCAGGGGATTTGGAGGGAACACTTGCACCAGGAGAGGAGTAGAGGGCGGTGCCTGGGAAGAAGGAATGAAAAGTCTTGCCCAAAGAGGGAGGGGGGTTCACTCCCAGGGAGGCAGGGCCGGAGAGGCTGCTGCAGGAGGGATCCCTCATCCGAACGGGGTGAGTCAGCCTGAGACAAAGCACCTGGAGAAGACTAGGACAGTATAGTCAGATGCGTTTGGATTTCTTATTTTACTGAGTTACCTACCTACCTTCATCTCTTATGTTCTTATGTTCTTACACGTTACTGAATCACAGCTGTTGTTAAATCTCTTTAATAAAAATAGCTTGTTACTCCGCTTAGGTCCTCACGCCTCATCCGGTCATGTATAAGGGGAAACCTACTGGGAGAGTATTGTATAAAGGGATAGGGTGGGTGCTCTGGGCTCTCCCGAGGACACCCATACCAGAGTGGTGGCAGCCACTTGAGAACCTTTCTAGCCGCTGCCCGCGACAACTTCGAAAATGGAACTGGCCTTTGCTGGCTGGGGTTAAGCTACTGTAGCCCGGTTTACATTTGCTAGACTGTATTTCATGTTTTGTTATACACAAGGAGCTCTAATGTTTTCCCCCTAAAGAGCAATTCTGGCCTGACCTCAAAGGCCTCAGGGAAGGTATAGGTATCCACAGAGAGATAATTCAGCCACTTGGGGGCACCACTGCTGAGAAGGCCCTGTCCAAAAGCCAGCCAGTGGAACTTCTGACCAAAGTCAGCATGCGCGGAAGGGCCTTCAAGGCAGATCAATGTGTGGGCGGTTCAAATACAGCCTCTCTGCATGATCAGTAAACCAGCTGTTTTTGCTGCGTACTCAGACTGTGGCAACAAGGAACACGGCTGGGCAGCTAGCAGGGTGATAATACGTGGCTGTGTTCCTCACGGTGGGCGACCAGTTTATGGTGTTCTGTTTACACAGGTCAGGGCGTGATTGGCTGGGTGAACTGGAATCTGTTACCCAGGAGCTTTCTTCCCATTTCAGTCCCAGAATGGCTTTTAAGCTCTGTGCAAGTGACAGAACACAGCACTATGCCTAAAGCAAACATAACCTCAAAATACATAGGGAGTTTAGTCACACCCTGACCTGGATGAACGGCTAGCCCAGTTTTGTCAGATCTCGGAAGCTAAGCAGGGTCAGCCCTGGTTAGTAATTGAGGGAGACCACTGAGGAAATCCACTCACTACACAGAGGTGGGCAAAGGTGAATCACCTTTGAATGTCTCTTGCCTTGGAAATCCTAGGAGGTTGCAATAAGTCACCTGCAACTTGATGGCGTTTTCCCATTCGGTCTCTCTGAAACGTTCTTGCAAATCAGTTACAGTTTTCTGATTATAAAACAAAATTAAGTCGCGTTTTCAAAAAGAAACTATACCACCTTTGGATCACATACACCTTTTCCCCAACGCCACGTTCCTGCAGTCTTTACCCGACAGTTTCTTTCAAGGGTATCTTCTTCTTGCAGCTCTGTGGTTCCACAACGTGACTTCGGAGGAGTTTGGGGTTGGAATCAACGTCTTTTGGAAACACCTTCCTGCCGAATGTTACGACAAGACAGACACTTATGGAAACAAAGACCTTGCTGCGGCCTCGAGGGCGGCTCAGATTTTGGACAGGGCGTTGAAGACACTCGATGAGCTGCCCGAGGAATACAAAGACTTTTACGGCCGGAGAATGGTTTTACGTATCCAAGAAAAAACGTATAGCACTAACTATGAATAAAGGAGCACGTTGTGTCTTCAGGCTTTTTCTTATGTGCAAACACTGCAAATAGGCAGTTTCACAACACTTAACTTTCATGAACACATTTTAGTTGACTATTTCATACTTCCAACATGTTTAGTGGGAAACAGAACCAGTGGAAGCTTCTCTTGACCAATACTCCCTCTAAGCTGTGGAGTCTTGTGAGCAAAAATTCTACTTTGTGAGCTACTAGCATTAAAGTTGTGAGTGAGCCATTCGGCTACTGCATGAATTAGTTTGCTCTGGAGCCATCCTTCCTGAGCGAAGACAAAAATGTGTGAGCCAGGGGCTAAAAAACTGTGAGCTGGCTCGCACTAACTCAGCATGGAGGTAACACTGCTCTCGACTGTCCACTAAGAACCTCATTTCTAGAGTCAAAAGTAGGACGCAATTTGTTTTACAGATTCACATAACATACGATTCTAAAATTTACAGACTGGTAGAATAATCGGAAAACAGAAGGTAAGTAACATTTACACAGTTGCATAGCAAACATACGTCCAATTCCAAGGCTTTTTTGACTTTGCACAGTTTGGAATACTTAAAAACTCGCCAGGCAAAACAGTGCTCTGTTCAGCCTGCCCTTTTCTAAAGGACATAGGAATGCGGTTTGTCAAGAGCTGTGAAGCTTATCTGATGAAACACGCAGTACTAATAAGCATACACATACAATAAGAGTTTAACTGAAAAAACTGTATCTTGCAATATGGGAGAGATCATTCATTAAGCCCTTTCTTTTGTGAGCGGCAGCAATTTAGGGGAAATTGACACCTATGAGATGAATGAGTAAGGATATTCTAATGAACTTAAAAACGGGACATCTTTCTACCCTGTGCTTGCCCAGTAGGGTACCAACCCAGAACAGGTCTGTCTGTTTTCCTCTGAACACTGTAGGGAGCGGTGGTGCAGGTAGTACAACGCCTGCAGGTAACATCTATAGCGAACAGCCAGAAAGGCTGTTCGAATCCCCACCACGGCCGGGTTGACTCAGCTTGGAGGGAACACTGCTCTTGACTGTCCACTAAGAACCTCATTTCTATAGTCAAAAGTAGGACGCAATTTGTTTTATAGATTCACACAACATAGATTCTAAAATTTACAGACTGGTAGAATAATCGCTAAATTAATCCAACTGTGGAAAACAGAAGGTAAGTAACATTTACACAGTTGCATAGCAAACATACGTCCAATTCCAAGGCTTTTTTGACTTTGCACAGTTTGGAATACTTAAAAACTCGCCAGGCAAAACAGTGCTCTGTTCAGCCTGCCCTTTTCTAAAGGACATAGGAATGCGGTTTGTCAAGAGCTGTGAAGCTTATCTGATGAAACACGCAGTACTAATAAACATACACATACAATAAGAGTTTAACTGAAAAAACTGTGTCTTGCAATATGGGAGAGATCATTCATTAAGCCCTTTCTTTTGTGAGCGGCAGCAATTTAGGGGAAATGGACACCTATGAGATGAATGAGTAACGATATTCTAATGAACTTAAAAACGGGACATCTTTCTACCCTGTGCTTGCCCAGTAGGGTACCAACCCAGAACAGGTCTGTCTGTTTTCCTCTGAACACTGTAGGGAGCGGTGGTGCAGGTAGTACAACGCCTGCAGGTAACATCTATAGCGAACAGCCAGAAAGGCTGTTCGAATCCCCACCACGGCCGGGTTGAGCCCCTGGCCCTAGTCCCAGCTCCCGCCAACCCAGCGGCTCGAAAGTAAATACAAGTAGACAAATGGGTACCTGCCCTAGGTGGCAGGGGGCACCCTCCTCCTGGTTCCGTGTCAGGAGTGTGGTTGGTGACACCGGCAAGCGGAGCGGCAGCGAGAGAAATGGTGGCGGAGCAACTGAGCGATTCCGGAGGGCGGTGACCAGATCAAATGGAGGCGGAGCCAGGCGACGCAGCGACGAGGGGACGCAGCACGGCAGGAGCCCGTGAGGACGCACAGCCGGAAGCTGCGCCCCAAAGCAGCTGCGTGCCGGAAGAGGAAAGTCATCAGAGCCTGCCTGGAGATGGTCGCCAGTCATCCGGATCGTCAGAGACCCGCTGGAGAGAAGGAATACGTGCCGCATGGGTGCTGTTAGGTAATCCCCTCCCCATGGAAAATTGTGGCCCTAGCTAGGTAATTAGCTACATTAAAAAGTAGTTCACTGTAAACCACTCTGAGACCCAGTAGGGGTCATGAGCGGTATAGAAATTGGAAATATAAATAAATATAAATATATAAATATATCTTTACCTTGTATTATGGTGATCTATGGTGCACTCATTAAACCTCAAGCTTTGAGATGACTTTACAAGACTTCTTACAAGACTTAACGTCTTCCTACTGCTGTACCATAACAGATACCCAAAACGATGCCCTGAGAATGGCTAGAATATTTTAGCAGGAAAAAACTGCAAGCTGGTTATTAAGATAAATTTATTTTTCAGATATAACTATAACACTGAATTAAAAGATTACAAGCAAATATTTAGACAATTTTGAAGTCTCAGACGTTATATAGAACCATTTCAGAAAGGTCAATATCTACTGCTGGAGAAAAGTGCTTATTTACTACTTAAAAAAACAACCAGGGTCACAAAACTTTCAAAGGCCAACAGTGGTTGCTGTAAGCCATATGGATTGGCAAAGAAAACAGCGTAATCTCTCTGAAACAGTTATCCTAATGAAGATCCTCCCTTATGAAATAAACTGTTCTGTCCAGCTCTCAATCTTCATATTCAAGCTAATACTAAAGTGGCGATTGCTAAAAAGCTACGGGTTTTGGTCACAGGATGGATAATTAAGCTACCTCCAATCAAATTTTAATTCTTAAAAATTCTTAAACACCAAACCCCCTAGCTTCACAAACGAAAGTGCAAAAACCTCTGCCTGTATCTCTCATGTAATTCAAAGTGCTGCAGAAACGTGTGCCTGGAATGTGTTATGACAAAAGTACTACTCACGTCCAAGAAAGCACACTAGTATGGTAACCTGAAACGCTTTGAGCCAGAGGTCTTCCATGCACTTTGAGGCATACCTAAAGCACCTGCCCAAGCCAGGTTCTCTTTCCACTTCAACTAGCACGTACGCCCCTTTGCGTGTATCCCAAAACTTGTTAATGTGAGACTCTGGTCCAGCAAAGAATTGCTAGATAGGAGCAAGTGCCCATGTTGAACAGGTGGGAGTTCAGTCTCACATTTTCATGAAAGCCCCCCAAACCTTATTTCATCTCTTTCTGATGCATGATAAATGCCGTTTTGTCACTTCTATGGCTTATGTTCTATCGTATTTAAATCTTGAGATATAGAGGATCGTATAGTTTTGTTCGCAGGTCCAACTTGATTACCGTTTCCTGCCACCAATACTTTTCACAGTGTAATCGCTTGCTGAGTTAGGGCCAAACCACACAGTACTGTTTTTAAGGAGTTGGGTCCAGGGGATTATGCTGTTAAATCACTCAAAAGTTTAGACTGATTCGGTGTTCTGACAATCCCACTACAATATGAAGGGTTCCCTGGCCTTGACTCATGTTCCTCGAAGCCACACAGCAGCTGCTTGGAACGGCTGCAGGGCAGGTGGGGGGTGGGAAGGGAATGTGTCATTTGGCCCTCTGTCTATTGAAACCAGTGGTCTTACACTGGGGTAGATCTGTAGAGGATTACACAGTTAAGTCACTTAAAAGTTTAGACTGATTCTATGTTCTGACAATCTCATTACAGTATGAACGGTCTTTCTGGGAGGGGGGGATACTGAGTATGAGGCCATTTATGCTTTTCTGATAATGCTAGCTAAATTCTGGCTTTGAAGGTTTATACTATGGGGCTTTTGCAGGCTTCTCAGGACGCATTTTATGTAGAAAGTTACACCTTTCTGTTTCATTTATCAAACCTGTTTCAGCATGTTAACTGATGGCAATTGCACTGTTAGGAACTTTTCCAAAAAAAGTTATTCTAAGATTTACTGTAAACTATATCAACCTCTTGTAGATGTCTGCGGCTCGATTTTTAGGAAAAGGTTAACACAGTTGTTTCCAAATGGTCTTAACAGTCTCAAGATACAAAAAATGTAAAATGTTCTAAGAGTTAGTCAAGCTTCAGTATTAATAGGGAATGTTGAACTGGGGTGTGTGTGTTAAGATTATACAATCTTGGTCACTCTAAAAAGAAGTTTAATACTAGTTAAGTTTCCAAAGAAATCTAGTAACAGATGTTCAGCAATGGTTAGAAATTGCAGAACATCTTGCTGAAACTGAATATTAGCCATGTCTCGGTTCCTAAGGAAAGTGTTTTCACTGCACGTACACTGAAGGCTTACGACAGTGCTGATATAACCAACATTGCATTGCTTGTGCTACGCCAAAGTGCTAGAAACCAATCTTATTAATGCAACCCAAATGCCTCAGTTTCGCATTTCTTCAGCTAAAGCTTCTCTATGAAAAGTATATGTTTTTCCCAGACCCTCAACACCTAGGACTTCTAGAAAGCTATTTCTGGAGACCAGCTGTGAAGGTTTGGCCACAAATTAGTACATCTGTAGTTAAAAGCAAATATCAAGCCAGCGTTTCATCTGATGCTACGAAGAGTATTTTCAGAGGAACGGGTGTTGCCTTCCTTCAGCCGTGATACAGATCCAAACAAAAATCCTCATCTTGAAGCCACAGGTTCGAGGCTGTCCAGGTGCAAATGCAAGACGAGACTTTGATAAAAGCCCAGTCCTACCATAAAACGTAAACATTAGTACACGTTATAGTATTCTCCCCTTCCAGGGTTTAGAAGCCAGCGCCTCAAAACCGTTAAATCACAGTCCGAGATGTGCTTTTGCAGTTAACATAATACCACAGTACATTCACAGTGTCAGAATACTTCGTGGACTCTGAAGTGGTTGTCTAAGGAAGGGGCTTCATCGGCAAAGTGAAGCTGGCTGTAGACATTGGCGCCGAGCTCCTCGAGGACTTGTACAAACCGCTTGTGCTCTTTTCCGATCCACGACCTCATCGTATCAAATACTTGGTAAGGGGTGACATGCGCGTTAACAGCAATCCCGGTCTGTGCAAATCCTTTCAGCACGTCCAGGCAGGTCACCCAGGTATTGCTCCCTCCAGAATGACCACCATCCAGCCAGTAAATTGCTTGTATGTTTTTGATGAAGGCAGCCAGGTCCTTGTCCTGTTTCGCTTCCTCGAGTTCATACAGCAATTGGTTCAAGACAACACAGCCTTTGCTGAACCCTATTAAAGTGAACGACGCTCCGCCGATAACGGAAGGCTCGATAAAGCTGACGGTTGAATCGCTGAAAGGTTCACAGTCTGGCTCCTTTTCTGCCGCTGGGCATCCGTTGGTAGTAGGGGCGGTGGGGGATTTGTAAGGGGCAGCCTTTCCATCCTTGCTGAAACCACGGGTGGTCTTCTGCGACAGCAGAAAGTTATGCGCAATTTTAAAGGCGTTGACCAATAGAGCATGGAGGTGTCTGAAGGCTCCAAAGTCAGTGCTGTGTTCAGGCGCTCCAAACATATTGCTGGCCACAAAGTTGTCATAACAGCTGAACTTGTGCAAATGCATGCGAGAACATTTTATGACCCAAATGTAACTGCCGGGGAAACGGTGGCCGAGAATAGCAGCAATGTTTTCTAAGCACCAGCGCTCCCACTGGTAATTTTCTGGATGGCAAACCATAATTTCACGATAGCTCTGAAATGAGACAACGGAGAAGTCTTAGCATAGTCTCTGGACGTATCTTGTAAGCTGTGAATAATATTTTTTTTCTTACTATGTGCAACAGGTTATTTGCCGCCTAACGCAACTTTAATAAAGAACACTTGAATTAAAAAGGTATTAAGGCAAATAGCATAAAATTGGAGAATGAGAATTGTATTCGCAATAAAGTGAAGATGTTAGTCATTAAGAACGGGCTGGAGGTAGGTCAAGTATCGCATTGCCATTATACTCTATAGAACAAAGATCATCTGAAGAAAGGTGCGTGCACACGAAAGCTTCTACCCAGAATGAAACTCTGTTGGTCTTAAAGGTGCCACTGGACTCCAACTTTGTTCTATTGCTTCAGACCAACACGGCTACCACCTACCTGAATCTCTTGCAATCTATAGTACTGCAGAATACACAACACAAAACAAACAGAAAAAAGGCAGTTAAAGCAATGAAAACTTACATAATATTCCTTGCAATAAAAGGAAGATTACGCTGCAGCTTTTCGCTTTAGAAAAGGGCAACTAAAAGTGAGCTTGGAGCTGCCGTCTACTAAATCAGACCCCCTTGGTCCATCAAGGTCAGTATTGCTTACTCAGACTGGCAGCAGCTCTCCAGGGTCTCAGGCAGAGGTCTCCCCCGCCCCCAACTCCCTGATCCTTTAAACTTGAGATTTCAGGGACTGAACCTGAGACCTTCTGCATGCAAAGGAGAGGCTCTTCCACTGAGCCACTGCCCCTCCCCATGACAGATGACGTACATTGTTATGAATAACCATGTAATTTTAACTTATAACTTCAGAAGCATCAAAAGCAGCTAAGCAAGTCAATGGAATGCAGTCCTATCAACAGCCGTGACAGTTCAATGGCACCCCTACGTCCACCTCATGGTGGACCAGAATTACAGTGATCGAAGAGGGGCTAGCTTTCACCATCATGCTGACTGGGGATCTTCTCAGAGCAACTGGATGGGCCACTGTCGGAAACAGAGTGCTGCACTAGATGAAGTACTGTTACTGGAAGCCCCAGAGAGGAGGAGGAGGAGGAGGAGGCAGACAGGTATTGCTTCATCATGCTGTTGTTGGTGGACACCTCTCTCCCGCATGTGCCTTGTGCTGTTGGTCATGCTTCCTCTTGGGTGTCATGGGCCTCCTTGGTGTCCCCTCCTCTGAGCTGCAGCTATCTCTGGGTGATCGAGCCCACTGCCCGCTCTTGGCCACGCACAAACCCCAAACGTAGGAGCTGGATTCATTTCTCAGCCTTGAGGATTTTGTATTTTCGCAACCAAATGTTCTGATCCACAAAACCTAACCCCAGCCTCTGGTTAATTTCACTAGAACTATGACAAAAGTGTTGCAGGATGTAACTACAGGGGCAACCCTGGTTATCACAAAAACAAAAAGCCTTACTGCTAAACCTAGCCTAACTTCTCGCCAGTTTCTCCTGATTCCATCACTGCTCTAAAAACCACCATTTAACTGAATGTCAAAGAACCAAGAAAGAAAGCAACTGGTAAGGAAATGAATTCATCCTAGGGCTACCAAGTACTTACTGCAAATCGGCGGGGGATGTATAGTTCTTGGCGGGAACATTCCCGTGGGGAAAACACAGCCGCTGCACTATCCTGTCGTCCAGACATGACGTGGACATGTAGCCGGGCGACGCTCTGGAAATGGGGCTGAAAACTCGATGGTACCATCGAGTTTCCAGCCCCATTGCCAGAGCGTCGCCCAGCTACGTGCCCAGCGTGCTTACGTCACGTCTGGGCGACAGGATAGTGCGATGCGGCCGTGTTACACGCAAGAATGTTCCGGCGGGGAAGCATGTGTCCCCTGCCGATTCGTAGGTAGGTACTTGGTAACCCTAATTCATCCACTGCCATTGAAAGGTATTAAGCTGAATTTATGCACAGACAAGCAATTGCAATGAGCTTCATGCAGACTGTTTTTTATGTCATACCACAAAACACTCAGATGTGAAATGATAAATGAGCTCTGGGTTGGATCCAGCTAGCTTTTCCACACTCTCTCAGCCAGTTCCCCTCATCACAGCCCCTGTTCCACATGTCCTTTGTCTGTGCCGATTGCATAATACTCCCCAAAGCCTCTTTGGTGGTCAAAGAAGACCCCTCCCTCCCTTTTCTCACCAGCACAAAAAAACTGGCTGGATCCATCCCTTTGTACTGCCCGAGAACTGCAGAGAGATGTGACAATAAAATCCTTGTTGAAAAAGAATAGATGCTGCAATGAACTTTCTAAGCGCCATGACAACCTGGGATTTGTTTAGCCTGGCCTTGTACACTCTCTCTGAGCACAACCAGTCCAGGGTTAATTCGCCATGAAAACAATTCACTTCATGTACAAATGGGAGAGGCAATAATAGCAATTCTTCACTTTATACCCCATCCAGAGGAACTGGTTGGCCTCTGAGTGAGACAGGATGCTGGACAAGATGGACTGTTAGTCTGATCCAGCAGGGCTCTTCCAATGTTCTTAGGAAGGCCTTGGCCTCTATACCTTGTTGCTGGCCCTCCAGATGAACTGGTTGGCCACTGCGTGAGACAGGATGCTGGACTAGAAGGACCACTGATACAGCAGGGCTCTTCTTATGTTCTTAGGAAGGTCTCGGCCTCTATGCCCTGTTGCTGGCCATCTGTGTGAGACAGGATGCTGGACTGGATGGACCACTGATCTGATTCAGTAGGACTCTTCCTATGTGTGTATCCCCGCACCATGAAAACAAACTCTTGTTAGCCCCTCCAACATAATAACCAAACCAAAAGGCCTTACATTTTTTTCCCCACTCACCCACAGAGCGTAAACGCGAAGGTACACTGATGGAACAACTACCATGACATGTAACTTGCCCCCTAAGCCAGCCTTTGCAAAAAAAAAAAAAAAAATGCTCTAGGACCCAGCCCAAAATATTTAGGAGCTAGTCTCCTTTCACTCTGCAGGGTCTGATATTTTTTATTCCTAGGTGCCAGAATGAAATTTCTAGGCACTGTGGTGAGCTGACACCGGGGATTTATTCAGCCATGCCTTAAGTATGGGTAAACCTATTTGAAGAAGTGAGCCGTGACTCACCTTAGAAGCTCCTGCCCTGCCACAAATTTTGTTTGTTTTTAAGGTGCTGCTGGACTCTTGCTTTTTTCTACACATAAACCTATGGGTTTCAACGGGCTTAAATTTACTTAAACGAGTGTCAGATTGTGATGACAGAATCTGTAACTGTAAACCCAGTTTGAGATGGACTGACTCAAGAAAGCGAGACCTGAGAACGGTTGATAACAATAGGACCTTTCGGAGGTCATCCATTCAGAGGGTCGCTATAAATCAAAAGCGACCTGATGGAGCTTCACACATACGCACCCTCTTCTTCCCATGCTGGGAGGGTACTCTCAGTGGCAGCAATTACGCCCAAGGAGAAGGAATGGTGTGGAGGTGCCGAAAAAGATTATCACCATCTTTCCCCAAATGTAAACTGTGCACAGAAGTGCATTACGTCCGTGGAAATCAACAGGCTTAGACTGGAGCAACTCTGCACAGGTGCCACCAGACCAATGTTCCCTCTAATCTGTGGAGTCTTGTGAGCAAAAATTCTACTTTGTGAGCTACGGGCATTAAAGCTGTGAGTGAGAGATGTGGCTACTGCATAAATTACTTTGCTCTGGAGCCATCCTTCCTGAGCAAAGACAAAAATGTGTGAGCCAGAGGCTAAAAAACTGTGAGCCAGCTCACACTAACTCAGCTTAGAGGGAACACTGCACCAGACTCTTGTGCAACGCTCCCCCTAAGCGGTGGAGTCCTGTGAGCAAAAATTCTACTTGGTGAGCCGCTGGCATTAAAGTTGTGAGTGGGCGATTTGGCTGCTGCTGAGATTAGTTTGCTCTGGGGCCATCCCTTCCTGAGCTAAGACAAAAATGTGTGAGCTGGAGGCTAAAAAACTGTGAGCTAGCTCACACTCACTCATCTGAGAGGGAACACTGCTCTTGTGCAGCCCGATCCTCAGCAAACTCACTCAGAAATAAGTCCCCTTTTCCCAAATACAAACTGCGCCCAATAATCAAGACCGGTTGGGGGACTCCGTTAGTGCCACCCAGATCAGTAGTGGGCACACTTGCATTTCTCTCGTTATGTAGATGACTAAAATATTCATCAGCAATCTATATGCAGCAAACTGGGCTACGGTTTCAGAACGATTAATAAACCCTCATACATCTGAAATACACACACACACACACACCCTCTCCAAGTAGAACAAAGTTTAAGTCCACGCAACCTTTAAGACCAACACATTTTAAAGTATAAGCTTTTGTATGCATGCACATTTATTCACACAAAAGCTTATACCCAGAATTAAACAACAACATCTTCTTTTTTTATTTATTTATTGAATTTCTGAATTGCCCAGTTCCTAAGTACACAAGGCTCTGGATGATTTACAACAATTTAAAAAACATATTTAAAAATACAGATTAAAATCAGCAGATCTATCTTTCCCAATTTGGTAATCTGTTGGTTTTAAAGGTGCCACCGGCCTCAGACTTTGTTCTGCTGCTTCAGAGCAACACGGACGGCCCCCCACCTGACCCTCTCTAGACATTTTAACCTCCCTGGACTTCTCAAACTACTCATCCGTTTTGGTTACTCTGACTTGCAGCTTCACAGTCCCTCTCTAGCATCTGACAAAGGAGATGCCCCCCCCCCGAAAAATGCTCTTAAAAAACAAATACTGTCACTCAGAGCACAACTCTGTGTATGGCTGTGCAGAACTGAACCCCACTATCTCCAACGGTGCTTACTTCCAAGCTGCATGGGCCCAGGATGGGTTACAGCGCAACCCTACACAGAGGTGCGCCAGTCGAAGCCCACTGATTTCAATGAAGTGGATGGGTAGGGGCTGTGGCTTGGTGGTAAAGCACCTGACTGGCAGCCAGGAGGTCCCGGGTTCTGACCCTGGCTTCTCCAGTTAAAAAAAAGGGCCAGTGCCAGGCAGTAGGTGATGTGAAAGCCCTATCTGTGCTGAGACCCCGGAGAGCTGCTGCCTATTGAGTTGACAATATGGAATCTGATGGACCAAGGGTCTGACTGACCCAGTATAAGGCAGGGTTGCCAGGTCCTCTCTGGTCACCGGCAGGAGGATGGGGGGGGGGAGTTGGGTTGCCAGGTACAGGTTGGGAAACTCCTGGAGATTTGGGGATGGAGCCTGGGGAAAGCTGGGACCTCAGTGGGGCACCATGCCTTATAGTCCACCCACTCCGGAGCACCCATTTTTTTCCAGGGGTACAAGGCCACAGAGTCCAGCATCCATTTTCTCCAGGGGAACAATTCTCTGTAGCCTGAACGACATCCCTAGTTAACCCTACAGGCTGCCCTTAGCTTTTCTGGGGGAGGGGGAAGAGTAAAATGCCCTAAAACAAATTCAGCACGTTGAACTTAAAAGTGGGTAATGGATAGGGTTCCCAGGTCCTCTCTGGCCACTGGTGGTGGTGGTGGGGTTAGGGTTGCCATTTCCAGGCTGAGAGACTACAGGATATTTGGCGCAGCGCTAGAGCCTGGGGAGAACAGGGACATTGGCGGGGTACAAGGCCACAGAGTCCAGCATCCATTTTCTCCAGGGGAACTAATCTCTGTTGCAATTCCAGGAATAGGGTGGCTAAGTCCCCCCTGGCCGCCAGCAGGAGATAAGGGGGTAGGAGTACCAGATCCAGGTTAGGAAACTCCTGGAGATTTGGGGGTGGAGCCTGCGGGGGACAGGGACCTCAGGGGGGTACACTGCCATACAGTCCACCCTCCAAAGCACCCCCTTTCTCCAGGGGAACTGATCTCTGCAGTCTGGAGATGAGATGTAATTCTGGGGGCTCCTACATGGAGGCTGGCATCCCATGCCGACCCTGGGGAACTCCTGGAGTTTTGGGGATGGCGCCCGGGGAGGGCAGGCAATTCAGTGTTCCCTCTAAGCTGAGTTAGTGTGAGCTAGCTCACATTTTTTTAGCCTCCGGCTCACACATTTTTGTCTTCGCTCAGGAAGGGACGGCTCCAGAGCAAACTAATTGATGCAGCAGCCAAATCGCTCGCTCACCAACTTTAATGCCGGCAGCTGGCAAAGTAGATCTTTTGCTCACAAAACTCCAAAGCTTAGAGGGAACATTGGCAGGCATCTCAGTGGGGGGTGCAGTGCCACAGAGTCGACCCTCCAAGGCACCCACTTCCTCCAGGGGAACCGATCTCTGCAGTCTGGAGCTGAGCTGCACCTCCGGGGGCCCTTCCCGGTCCCACCTGGAGGCGTGCATCCCTAGTTCAGGCAGCTTCAGGTGAGTCACTCTGCACAGACGTGGACCCTCCCTGCCCAACGGGCTCAGGCGGGAGCTGTTCTGCCCAGGCGCCCTTTTGCACGGCCCGATCCTCAGCAGGCAGGCTCCCTCGGAAGTCGAGC